AATTGGATTATGAAGGTATTACAATTTTCTATTGAAGTTTATATTTTATTTCTGAATTGCCAGCAGGCAGGAAATTGAGATGTCTTTTAATTTTTTTTTTTTTTTTGAGTTGGAGTCTCACTCTGTTGCCCAGACTGGAGTGCAGTGGCCACTCCCAGCCACCGCAGCCTCGACCTGCTGGACTCCGGCAATCCTTCCGCCTCAGCCTTCCAAGTAGCTGGAACTACAGGCACGCGCTACCATACCTGGCTGATTTTTTTTTTATTTATTGTAGAGATGAAGTCTTGCTGCCCAGGCGGGTCTCAAACCCTTGGGCTCAGGCAATCCACTCACCTCAGCCTCCCAAAGCACGGGATTACAGGCTGAGCCACCGAGCCCGGCGTCTTTTAATTTTTATATACTTTCCTCATTCAAACTTAAGTCTAAGCACACCTATTTTCTTTACAAATTGGATCACAGTCTTTGAGATCAGCTAATTTTCAGGAGAAGCAGTACTGCTATTTTAAGCTGAACTTTGCCTGAAAATCCCTCAAAAGTATCTTATAGACAATCTACTGAATACTGCCAAACAAAATTCACTGATGTCAACTCTGGGAACTGTTTATATTTTTAAACTTTGAAAATTATTTTAAAGGCACAGTCATGAGTAACTGACCTAAAATGAAATGTGAGTTGAATTAAAATAAACTGCTGTTTCCTTACTTGGAAGAACAGTGAATACTACTAGCTTAGTACTCTGGTTGGCACTCAGCTTGTCTATCTGCTACATTTTTGCACATTTTGTCTGTAATTATCTTTAGAGTCCTGATTATGTTAGACTGCTCCTCTATGTATCACCTGCAGGAATATATCTGCTCATAGAATTCCTGAAAACTGGAGTTAAATTACTTAAAAATTCAGAAATGCTAATGGTAGACTATGGAATATATTTCTAGTGTTGAAAACAAGTTCTGGAATGTAGAACAAAATATATATTAACCTCCCCACCCATAAGAATGAGATTGTTTCATACGATTTCTTCATTTCAAATACTATTGTATTAGCAATCAAGTATTGTGCAAATAATAAAGCAAACTGATTTATTAAAAGAAGACTGATTCTGTCATCATTTTATACTCATCAAGATTTAAGAAACAAACGATGGTTTTAAAATGGAGTTAATCAATGATAGTTTGGAAAATTCTTCTTCTATTTTTGCTATAAATTAAGTAAATCTTATCTGATTTGAGAATTAGTAAGTAAAATTATTAAACTAAATACTTTTTAAAGTGTCAAGATACACTGTGACTGTCTTTGATGCTATATGTGACTCAATCTTGGAGTACTGGCAGAGTATCCATATTTTATTATGGCTGTCACATAAAAAAACAAATGAACCACAAGATGAGTCAGTCTTTACAATATGCAACAATGTGAAAGGAAGCAGATCCACCTTTACAATCTGCAGCAATGAGAGGGGAAGCTAGCAAGTGGGATTTGGAATTATTTCCTCTCATCTCTCAATTTTTAGCCGTCAATACTACCTTGAAAGCCCGTGCTTCAGAGTTCCTGTTAGCAACAGTCTGTGCCAACAAACTCTGCCACCCCATTGGATCTTCTTTGTAGGAGAGTTGACCGGCCCTGAGTTTAACATATAAAACTCCATCCTTGGAAAGGATGGACCTGAAAGAAAAAAGCACGAATTTAATATGGGGTATTATTGGTAGTTCTTGGCTGGAAACACAGTGTTTTCCAATACCATATTCACAGGAGATGAAGCCTTTATTATTTTCCACTGAAGTTTACAATTATTTACTACATCTAAAATTAAATCATTCCCTACAAGGAAACATAAAATAAAGTTCTGCCTTTCTGTGGCATCTAGACTCCTCGTACTTGTTAAATGTGAATGCATTCTGACTATCTGCTCAAATATGGGCTTCAAAGGTAATATTGTGTCTAACATTTCTTTGTATTTGCCACGTTCCCCAGCACTGTGCATGGGATCCTGGAGCTGTAATATACATTAATTGGTTTGCAGCAGAAATAAAATATTGCTCTAAATCTAAAGACAGAACAATACAGAAAACAGCTAATATTTAGATAGTTTGGAAAAATATAAATTGAAACCAAACTATAAAAACTTTACATGCCTGTTAAACTTTTTGGAAAGTTAAAGGCTTAATTTATACACTATTTATGATATAAATGATTAACACTCTAAAATATTTACTTGCATATGACGGCTTCAACCCAAAAGCAATCTACTATAATCTTAAATTTATAAGAACATTCTAACATAAGAATGGCAGAGATGCAACAGGAGATGTGGTCTAAAAAACATCAATTGTTAGAGTATAAAGTTCCTTTTGTGGACATACACATCAGACTTATTTTCTTAAACTAAACCTTAGGTTATTATACCAAGAGACATTTCCTCTATTATCCTAACTCAGTTCAAGTTTCTCAATGAATACATATTTAGGGTTTGATTTCTAAATTCAAACTTTCACTTTCTTTCTTTTTTTTTTTTTTGAGTTGGAGTCTCACTGTTGCCCAGACTGCAGTGGAGTGGCCGCTCCCGACCACTGCAGCCTCGACCTGTTGGGTTCTGGCGATCCTTCCACCTCAGCCTTCCAAGTAGCCGGAATTACAGGAATGCGCTACCACGCCTGGCTGATTTTTTGATTTATTGTAGAGATGAGGTCTTGCTGCCCAGGCGGGTCTCGAACCCATGGGCTCAGGCAATCCACTCACCTCAGCCTCCCAAAGGCACAGGATTACAGGCTGAGCCACCAAGCCCGGCTCAAACTTTCACTTTCAAATACAAATTCTATTTCAAAGAAATAAACTACTTTATTTAATACATACCTACATATTGTCTTAGAAGAAATCAAGGGAAGAGAAGTCATGCTCTAGATAATCTATAACTTATACCTTCCCATATACTTCTGCTCACTTTCTAAAATGCAAATTTGAGAAATTCAGTATACTTACTTTAGGTGTTGTGTTCCTTTGCTTAAATCTATGAGCAGTTCCCAGTATCTTGGGCCTTTAACTTTAATCTGCCAAGATAAATGTAAACATAGTCTGAAAAAGAGCTAGTTTGACAAACTGAAACCTATGCTTCTCAGAGGAAATAATTGAGCTGGAAAGAAACACTGAAAGGTTAACAAGCTCCGTTTTCAGACAAAAACAATACGTGAATTATGTCCGAAGACCATCTCACTTATCAGCAAAGGTATCTCAGACAAGACTTACTCTATTCATCATGACTTATTTCTCCTGCTGCTGCTTTCTTGTTTTCTACAAAACGTGCAGAAAGCAGAGGTGTTTAAGAGACAAGGTCTTGCTATGTTTCCCAGGTTGGTCTTGAACTCCTGGGATCAAGTGATCCCTCTACCTTGGTTTCCCAAAGTGCTAGGATTATACCCACCGCACCAGCCTTATTTAACTATCTTTGGCACTATGTTACTCTTTTTGAATCTGTCTCTTGGATAGATCTCCCTAAGTCACACCCAACTTACCTGCTTTAAAAGGTGTAGTTCTGGAAGAAGGGTAGGAGCCATCAATTCTTCTTTGGTTTGTTCATACCACTGAGTGCCCTTTATAAATGTAAAAGTACAGTCACAGTTCACTAGGAAGACAGTGGAAACTAAAAAAAAAGAAACATCTCCACTCTATACCTCCTCTTACCCGCAGAATATACAGAGACTGTGAATGGCATAAAAGCCTCTCTGGTACTCAAATCTTAAATGACTAAAGTAGGGATGCATCATTTCCAACTACTTCAAGCCTTGTCCGTCACAGGCCAGCAGTACTGAAGGGCCACACTTCTAAAGCCTCTGAGCTTTTGCACATATTGTCTTCTCTGTTGTGATGTGTCACTCAGCTGGCAAGTCTCAGCCCAACACTGTCCACTGTGACAGCTTCTCCAAGCCCCACAGTTGATCAAGGCACTACTCCTTTGCTCCCTCTCTACTGCACACACAACCTCTAATTACCACTCTAATTTCATTGCACCCATGCTGGGTCTCTAATGGATAAAAGTGCCTTAAGGAATATGATGATGTCACCTCATTTTGTACCCCAGAGTTTAGCACAGTTTTGATACACAGCAGGTACTTAATAATATGCTGAAGGAAAAATGTGATTTGTAATTTATTTGTGCATCTAACTGAAAGCTCTTATCAAGTACATATTTGGATTTTAAAGTACTCAGCTAACACATCTAAGAATAATTCGAACTCAATTAGCTTTTTAGCACACTATCAGCCATGTAAAGTTAACAGGGACATTTTCAAATTATAAGCCCTAAGGACAAAACAGTAGCTGATGATCCAAAAAAATTATACCCATAGAATAAAAATGAGGATGAATGGCCTGGCAGAATGTACAAGAACTTTGGAAACTTCAATTTTTATGAAAGTTCAACTCACTTTTTACTGGACAACACCTTTGAAATACTATGATCTGAAAAGGTGGAAAAATGGTAATAAAATTACAAGTTAGTAACAGGGAGAAAGGGTTACCTTGTAGGTGACTTCTAAAAGGGCATAGCAGGGTGTGTTTGTGTCCACATCCACAGGTACCAGGAGCCTTGGTTCTGCAGCCAGCACATAGAGGTGGCGAAGAGCCTGGAGATGATACCTGTTCAAAGGAAGGACAAAGAGGAGGTAATAAACAGATGTGACCTTGTGAGTGCTGCAATCTGCTGTTGCCTGTAAGCTCAAAGAGGACAGAAAAGGGAATAATATCTTTAAGTGAACATAAATCTTAAAGACAGGTGATGAGACAGGTAAAAAGTAATGGAGAAATTAGGCCGGGCTTGGTGGCTCAGTCTGTAATCCCAGCACTTTGGGAGGCCGAGGCGAGAGGATTGCCCGTGCCCATGGGTTCGAGACCTTCCCAGGCAACTTGGCGAGAGACCTCACCTCTACAATAAATCAAAAACTAGCCAGGCGTGGTAGCGCGCGCCTGTAGTTCTGGCTACTTGGAAGGCTGAGGCAGAAGGATTGCCGGAGTCCAGCAGGTTGAGATTGCGGTGGCCAGGAGTGTGCCACTGCATTCCAGTCTGGGTGACAGTGTGAGACTCCAACTCGGAAAAAAAAAAAGTAATGGAGAAAGTTTCTTTAAAAATATTATATAAAGTGATCCTTGACCCCAAAATTCTTTGAGTTTTCAATTAATAGGTTTTACAGAGAAGTAAAAATTGTCTTATCATGAAAATATTTACTAATTAATTAACTACTTATAAAATCAGTCCCTCTCAAATATCCCTTTCTATTGAACACAGTCATCTGTTTTTACCTTCTCAGGGGTTTCATTCTAGTGCTTTGTTTCCCTTTAAGGACTGGTAGAATGACAAGATGCCAGTACTCCTCAGATAGCAAAGCTCTTCTACATATACATGCTTGCACACAAATATACACACGCATACCCTTTAATATTCAGTACATCAAAAAATTTATAAGTGGGAGGGGGACAATAAAATTCTTTGCATGTATGTGCTTGAGTTTTCAAAACAACTTTTTAAAATTTAAAATTTATATTTTAATATGTAAACACACATAAGTTTTTATATTTTAAGATCTCATACAAGAGGAATACAAAGAAACTTCAATTTTTTTTTTTTTTTTTTTTTTGAGTTGGAGTCTCACTCTGTCACCCAGACTGGAGTGCAGTGGCCGCTCTCGGCCACCACAGCCTCGACCTGCTGGGCTCCGGCGATCCTTCTGCCTCAGCCTTCCGAGTAGCCGGAATTACAGGCATGCGCTACCGCGCCCAGCTGATTTTTTTTATTTATTGTAGAGATGAGGTCTCGCTGCCCAGGTGGGTCTCGAACCCGCGGGCTCAGGCAATCCACTCACCTCAGCCTCCCAAAGACGTGGGATTACAGGCTGAGCCACCAAGCCCAGCTGAAACTTCAATTTAAAAAAAAATTATATATAGTTGCAGACATAGCATCTCTCTTCCCACCCCAAAGCACCCACTTCTATAAATCTATAAAGGTCACAAAAAAACTAATTTTTTTTTTTTTTTTTTTTGAGTTGGAGTCTCACTCTGTCACCCAGACTGGAGTGCAGTGGCCGCTCCCGGCCACCGCAGCCTCGACCTGCCGGGCTCCGGTGATCCTTCCGCCTCAGCCTTCCGAGTAGCCGGAATTACAGGCGCGCGCTACCACACCCGGCTGATTTTTTATTTATTGTAGAGATGAGGTGTTGCCAAGTTGCTCAGGCGGGTCTCGAACCCGCGGGGTCAGGCAATCCACTCACCTTAGCCTCCCAAAGGCGCGCGGGGGAAAAAA